TAATTTGAAGCTTGAAGTTTGTTATAGAAAAGAACCCAGAGTTTGTGTTTAGATTGTGACCTTTGGAGTGGGTGTTGGATTGATCTGGTTGCAGTTTTTAACAGAGCTCTGAAAGTTGCTTCCTGAGCTTCTGAAGCTCTGAGGATTAAAAATGATGGAAAAAGATGTTAAAAAGCACCAAAGTTAAACTCATCCTTGTGTCCTTCAGGCGCCTCAAAGACCTCTACACACCAAACATGTTAAATCATGTAAATCTTTCCTGCATTTGGACTCGCCTATTCTTAATCCAGCCTTTTACTCCACGTGAGTTTGCTGGATGAAGCTCGATTTTTCAGATCCGATAAACAGATCTGATCAGACATCAGTGCGCTCGCTTTGAGCTTTATTTTCTGCATAAAGGCGTTTATGTTACGCAATAAGTTTGCATCTGAAAAGTTTTGTGTTGCTCTTTCGCAGCAGAGAGCATTCACAGACTGATTCTGGATTAAACAACGTGCACGTTTGTGTCCAGATGAATGAAGTATGCAAGAATTGTTTCTTCCATCAGTGTAGGCAGGCCTCCTGTAAAACAGCGCCGGCGGTTTGACTCAGATCTGTGTAACAATGACCTCGCTTGCCTCCATGTCTCTGCAGAGAAGGACTACAGCAGCCTCTGCGAGCGGCAGCCGATCGGACGGCTGCTCTTCAGGCAGTTCTGTGAGACTCGACCCGAGCTGAAGCGCTGCGTCAAGTTCCTGGACGCCGTGGTAAGCGGAGCCGTCTTCGTCTGACCTCTTCTCTTTGTGTGCTCGTGTGTGTCCAGCCTCAGCATCTTTCTCTGCAGGGTTCAGACTGTCCTGTGAGCCCAGCGTTTATCAGCCTCCCCATGTATTAACGTGAAAACAGCGTGACCAATCAGACACGGAGAGGTCAGCTGACAGCAGAGAGGAACAGACACGATTAAACTGTTTCTGAGTTTAAACACTTAATACAGACTGAAAGTATCATCTGAGGGTTTGTGTGGCAGGAAAACTGATACAGCTGTTTATTAATGTGTGTTTGCTTTAAGCTGTGAGCAGTGTTGCCAACTTAGCGACTTTGTCGCTATATTTAGCGAGTTTTCAGACCCCCAAAAAAAGACGTGAAAGCGCATATCGCTTTTACTCTCAACAAGCAGCGGGTGCTGTAACGCAGTCAGTTCTTCTTTTACTCTTATGCTGTTTTGTGGATCAGGTTTAAAACTACTTATAAACACACACACAAAGTAACTCCACCAGAGTGCCTATTTCGGGTCACTTTTGCCGGTCCAAGCCCGGATTAAGGAGCAGGGTTGGAATTGTGACATTAAAAAACAATAATTGCTAAAAGAAATTTAATTTGTAGTTCTAAATAAACTCTAAATGCATTTAGGACGTTTTTTACTCACTTTATGTCTCTTCCACGATGTTATTTCTCTCTCCAACAACGTAGGTTACAATTACATTAGCATGACCAATTATGCAAATTAGGTGATGACGTCATTTAGCGACTTCTAGGACAGCCAATAGCGATTTTCCTTACTGAGGAGTTGGCAACACTGGCTGTGAGTTCAGTATGACTGCAACAGTGAAAGAGGCTGACTGAGTGAGTTAGCACACTTATCAGTGTTAGTAAGGATCTGACATTTAACTGCAGCTTGTAATTAATCCGTTAGATTAATGTGTTGTTTAGATCTGCTTCAGGCAGTTTGAAGCCCTCATTGTTCAGTGCTGTGTTTTAGGGCTGTGTGAGGAGGTGGAGGAGGCGCTCCTGTAAGAAATCCTGGGTCATTTCTGTCATTGATACCGTTAGGGAACGAGGCAGTGCTCTCTAAACTGGACCAGGTGTAACATCGTTATTTAGTAGCTTTAATGCAAGCACCTGATACATGACAGGAAATGAGGTAGAATATACAGCAGCAGGCCTTTAACAGGAAACAAACACTTTGACATTTAAACGTTGTGATTATAGCACTACATGCTATTCACTCGCTTTTAGCTGGTTTTTAGCCTCCAACGACTCACATTGATAAAGGAAGTTAGCTCATTATCAGCTAAATGCTGCTCTCAGTTTACAGCAGGAAGTAACACACAGTAACAGAGCACGGTAAAGTGGCCTATTTATGCTTTTTTCTGCTGTGATACATAAACAGTTTTTTTCAGGATTCGAGTCGCCCAAAATAAATGCAAATGTGCCCCAACTGTCCAAGCAGGCCAACGCTGAGCTGTGGGAAAATGTTCTGTTTTTTCTTCGGGTGAACTGACCCTGATTGGCGAGTTTAATTACCCTGAATGCCCAAATGGAGCACTTGAAGATGAGGAGGAGGAAGTAGGGTTTAATATCTGTTTAATGAAATACAGGAACTCTTGACTTCTGGGAACAATCTGCGTCACTGAGTCGTTTTTCCTGCCTCCCATGCTGTATCCCCGTCACACACACACTGCGGTGGGAATGAAACAAAGTGTGAGGGAAGCATTCCTGAAGTGAGCGGAGCGAGTTACGACTCGTTTACTGCAGCAGATGAGGTCGCACAGTGTGTTTCTGCATCTAAAACCATTACAGTGGGGACATTTCTGCTTTATGAGGACATTCAGAGTGGTCCTCACAACTTCAGGTTCGTCAGGGGGAAGGTTGGAATTAAGGGTTTAGCTGGGAATCCTGATGTTCAGGGTTTTTAGTCATGAATTTGTTGATGATTGTTTTGAACGAGGACTTTCTGGGGACCACGACTTTCTTGGTGCCTCTGTGTTAGGGATGCACCGACACCGATACCGATATACCCGATGGTATCGGGTATACCGATACTGGTATCAGGTATCGGGGCCGATACTGTAAAATGTGTGTGTACTCATACTCGTAAAAGTTAACCGATACCATGAACCGATACCAACTTATTTCATTAATCAGAGGGTGGCTTGTCATTTCTGTTGTAGTTTTTTAGATTGGCCACTAGGGGGCCAATTATTATTTTATTTATTATTTATTTTATAATTTTTTATATTTTATTATTTATTTAATAATAATTATTTTGTTTGTTTGTTTACAATATGGACACTCTGCAATAATTTAAAAGTTTATTTTATTCGCAAACCTAATTTGTATTTATTTTATTCCAAACAGAAGTGTTTATTTATTATTCTGAAAGCTCGAGACAGTGCCAATAGTTCAGTGATATTTTGTAAAATTACAATGTGGAGACTGCAATAATTTAACAGAAGTGCTTATTTTTCACTTGAAATTTTTTTGTGGTCATTTTTATTAAGATTTTATTTTTTATCGGCAGGGAATATAATAAAACCGGTCTTCCAATCAATTGTATTTGTGTTTGTGTGTGTGGTAGAAGTATTGTTTTTTGTACTCTGTATTGGCAAGTACTCAGATCCAAGTATCGGTTTGAAAAAATTGGTATCGTTGCATCCCTACTCTGTGTATTACTTCATCACTGTCATCTGTGTTTATCCTCTGGGGATATGCATACAAATTGAATATTAATCTACCAAATTATACTGGAAATATTTTGGTTTGAACCACTCAAAAGATGAAAAGGAGCACAAATCAGCAGTTTAAAGAATTGAGGGGTCGTCCTCCGGAGACCACAGATTTCTAGATGTCCTTACGTGTTAAATATCAGTAATTCATCACTGTCATCTGTGATTATCCTCTCGGGATGTGTTTACAAAAATCCAGTCCATGTGATTACACTCAAGATATTTCAGTTTTATAGAGTCCAAAACTGCTGCGTGTTGTCTTGAGTTGAGGGTTCTGATGTGATCTGATCTGAAACCACCTGCTGGTGATAAGTCAGAGGATAATCAGTGTTTGTAGGGTTCACTCTGCAGAGACCATGAATCTCTGTGCAAAAGTTCATAACAAATGAGGGTTTGAAGCATTAAGAGCTCTTTGACCTGTCAGACAGTATCACACTCAGAACAAAAACAAAGATTAAGCCCCATTCAGACAGGAAGTGTGGGATTATTTTAATATTAACTGTCCTGGTTCATGGCTAATCCTGTCTGAGCTTAGGTAAGGGCAAGGGTAAGTCAAATTTCACCTGCTAATATGGGAAAGTAGTAAAAACAAATGAAAGCTGTCAGAAGGTTGTAACTGCGGAGGCTCATCAGGTTGAGGTAATGTCAGATTAACCTTTTAAGCCTGCATTTCTTTAAGTTTTGCCAATTTGGTGTTATTAACAGTAGAAATGATTTGTTAAAGTGGATCAGGTAATGGTTGCAGTCCTATCTGCTGAGGTAGAGGAGGTTGATGAAGACAGTCTGCTCTGCTCAGCTGACTCCAGTCTGATGGCTTTGCAGTTTTCAACTCGCATTCGAAGCAATTATGCTCCCTTTTACCCCACAACCGCTTCCCGTCTCGTCTCTGAGAGCCCTACGAGAGGACGAGATGGAGAGGGGAAAATGAGATTTGAACCGTCTCCGCTGTCACTTAGCATTAGTTTACAGGCTCGCGCTGCCAGAGGGGAGAGGAAGCACTTTGGGGTTTTCCAGTCAGGCTCAGTTTACTGCAGGTCATTCACAGGGAGGAGTAGATGCAATCGGTTCAGGTGTGGGGGAGGAGGGCTGCAAAAAGTCTTCAATTAACTCATAAAGTGGGTTTTCTGAAGCCGAGAGGAGGCTGCAGGGGACACACACGAAGCTGGTAGTTCAGCTGAGCAATCAATATTATGGGCCTTCATCATATATTCACAGTTTCATCAGATTCTGTCCAAATTAATGACTGAGTTATGTTTTTAAATGAAATGACATCTAGTGGTCATATGCAGAAATGCATGTAAAATGTAAATGAGCTTATATCGAAAAAATAAAAGAGTTCACTTTAACCCAAACACTTCTCTAACTCTGTTTAGATAGCTATATAAATGCAATCCATTATTATTAGTCAGGTGTTTTGATGACAGGATGCTAAAAAAAATACAGCTACTGAAAACCACATCCTGGTACTCTTCTCTTTGTGAAGGTCTGGCAGTGTCACATTATAGTGCAGAAATTCTCAAAACTCCTTAGTTAGCTTGAGATGTCGCAAACTACCTTGTTTGTCTTAAGTGCTAAAAACTCTTTAGTTAGTTTAAAATGCTAAAAGCTACCCAGTTAGCATCAATTGCTAAAAACTACTTAGCCTCAGATGCTAAAAGCAACCAGGTTAGCATCAATTGCTAAAAACTACTTAGCCTCAAATGCTAAAAGCAACACGGTTAGCATCAATTGCTAAAAACTACTTAGCCTCAAATGCTAAAAGCAAC